ACAGAGGTGTTTTAGGTACTTCCAAAGGAGTACTATCACTAGTTCACTTTCATGTAGGAAACTCCTCATCTCTTAAGGTTTTGTGTAATGAAAACTTCCATGTGGGCCAGAAAATAGTCTCTTGGGGAGGGCAGATACTAGTGAATGAGGAAACTACCATGCAAAAGATGTAAATGCTTTTTCCTTTGACGGTTTTACCAAACTATTTAGAGAAGCCAAAACAGAGAGCTTCCATGATCATTCACCTGAATAATCATAGTTAATTGTATGTAAATTAAATCTCAGTAACTCTGTTAAAATATTCAGTACAAAATGTTTTAATTGACCACAGTTAAATAAGCATCTACTTTGTTCATATTCAAGTACTTACCTATTTTTTTCTTTCCACACATTCAAAATAGGTGTGCTCTGTATCCATTGTTTCTAACACCTATATAAAAGTAAAAAATTGGGGGCCAGCAGGTGGTGTGGTGGATAAGGGCGCTGGATTCCCACATGGCCAACCATGGTTCAAGTCCTGGACCTGGTGGCTTGCTTTCTCACTTTCCCTTTCTCTCTCTCTCTCTCCCTCTCTCTCTGTCTCTCTCTCATCAAATAAAGAAAAAAAATAACAATAACAAATGGAAATAAATAAATAAATAATTCTTTACCAAAAAAATTTTAAAATTGATTTTCTATTCAAAAAGTAGCTACACAGAGCTGGTAGATGGCATGGTGGTTAAGGTGCTGGATTCCCACATGGCTGATCAAGGTTTGAGCCCCAGAACTGGCAGCTAGCTTGCTTGCTCTTTCTCTCTTTCTCTCATCAAATTTAAAAATAGCAGTAAGAGGAACCAGCAGATGGTGTAACAGCTACATCGCTGGACTCCAACAAAGTCAACTATGGTTTGAGTTCTAGACCCAGTAGCTTAAAACTCACTCCAGGCACATGTACGTGTGTGCCCAAAATACCGAAAGGAGAATGGAGGAGAAGGGACTGCAGAGTGGCCATCCCTAGGGGGTGATTTCTTACTTTCTCTCTCTGTCTCTCCAACTCACACATGTGCCCTATAGCAAAAATCTCTCTCTCAAAAAATAATAATGAGAAATAAATAATTCTTTATGCAAGAATGACCTAAAGTCTTAACTGCGGTATTTCAGCCAGCTGGAATCTCCTACCTATCAAATACATTCACTCACTAATCTCAGTAGAGGGAAGTAGTGAAGACCACCACACTTTGGTGTCAGGCAGGCCTGGGTCTAATTTATGGCACTACCGCTTTATTAGATTTGTGGACTTGTACAGGTTAATTTGTTTCTCTAAGAGTTTTGTTTCCTCTGGGACCTATCTCCTAGAATGGTAATGGGACTCAAATGAGAACTACTCTGCCTTATTTTTAGTAGGAGGGGTTGGTAGGCGAAGATGAGGGGGGTGTCAATGCTTGCTTTACCTGCTGTGTTAGTATTAATAATTGGGGTAATTCATAGCAGACTCCCTCTACTCCCTTTCTGGAATATGTATATGTTATAAGAAGTGAATAGCTTCTTAGAGGTCTCGGGGAAGCAATGATGAAGTATCTGGTTTGTAACATCTCAAGCAGGTACTCCTAGTTGTTATTTAATGTAACTCATTAGGTTTAATGTTCATTTAAACTGCCCATTTGTAAGCAGTTTTGCTTTCCTTGCAATTTGAAGACTGGTTTCATGACTGACTGTTACTCTTATTACAGACTTAATGGTTGCAAATTCTAGATGATTATTCTCTTTTATCTTGAACTACTGCAGGAAGTTTTTCCTCCATAGAGAAAACAGATATTGATTCAACCAATGTTTACTGAACACCTACTGGCAGGTACATTGCTGAGCAGTGAGAAGACAGAGACAACAAAAAAAAAAGTGAAATGGGGCTTTTGCCCCCAAGGAATTTACCCTCTAGTGGTCACCAGACCAGCAGAGTCAGAGTCATCAGGGGACTTGATAGGAATGTCAGTTCTCAGGCCCCAGCCAAGACCAATCCAATCAGAAACTCTAGGGGTAACCCCCAGCTATCTTCAAACAAAGATCATCTTCATCAAATGTCAAGCAACAAATATGTCATTAGCTTACTGAGCTAAATCTAGAAGTGTCATTTGTCCTTTGAGTAAAGGGAGGCCCAGAGGCCTAAGGCCACCTGAGAAGTTGCTGGAGGAATTGCACACAGGACCAGGTCTCCCTCCCTGAAAGGTCAGTGTTCTTTCTTTCTACTTCTTTCCTCACATTAATTCCTAAATCAGATGAGAAGCCCCAAGCATTATCAGCCCAAAGTCCAAACACTGGGGAGAGAACCTACCTTGAAAATAAGGATCATGAACAAAAATTGAAATCTGATTTATCTAAGTCACCCAGTAAATGAGCAGTCATTTCCCAAACCCTTGCCACGTATCCAGGTTCTATGTGCAAGATCGAAATCAGGAGGGAAGGACAGAAATACAATGAATAATGTGACTAGAATAATATCTGTAAGGATTTACAGTCTGAAGAAATGCTAATAGTGATTCACCCTCCATGGGGGATACAGATAATCTCTCCTTTCTTCTTAGTACTTTCATGAATTTTTCCTAATGGCTAAACACTACTATTTATAATCAGGGAAAAGTAAAACAGCTTTTGAAATGTTAAATCCATATCACTCAACAGGAAGATTTATTCTGTAACTCCATTCCTCCCATACAGTAGGATAGTGTGTGTATAGTAATTATTTATATCATGCCATATGTTACAATGAAGATGAAATTTGGTAAATATATTCCTTCCAGCTGGCACTGAAAATGAAGAGGTTAAATGCATTCCTAGGTTCAAAGCACAATGAATTAAGGCAAGCTAACTGTGAAGCCTAAGGAAAAATTAATCCCAGTATTGAGATCTCTGAGAGCAGCCCTTTTGAAAAACATTTAGTGACACACAGCTCTTTGCTCATATCTCCCTGATGTTTAACCCCTGGCACAAAACAGAACGTTCAGCAATTCCTGGCAAAGTCTTAGGAGTTCAGGAGATAAAATGCATGGGAGAAAATCAGAAAGATAAAGAACAGAATGATCTTATATTCGCATAAAATTCTGTCCCTGTGGACAATAAGATATCCAAAACTATTGTCCAAATTACCCTTTTTTTTTTTTCTCAGTACGTGTCTGCTTACCAGAAAGCTATGTTGGCTATGTTATTCCACAAATCAAAAATAAATAAATAAATAAAATATATTTAAAGAGGCGTTTTAGTCACAACAGTATCACTGTAATGTTTGACTCCATAAGACAAATCTGTTGCTTCAAAGGAAAACTAGGATTGTCGTATTGAAACTCAGCAATATAAATTTGGTGAACAGTAATTGTAATTTCTTGAAGGAAATAGGGAAGTAAAGTTAAGAATTAATGGAATGAATATGGAAGAGGAAAAACCAGTAATTATCTTCATCGAAATCCACATAATAGGTGACATTTCTAGAATTTGCAGACTCAGGAAAGGATGAGTTATTGGGACTATACTCTCTCTCGCCCTCTCTGCCTCCATATATATGGAATAAAATATTACTTACATACACACACACACACACACACACACACACAAGATTACCAATTTACACAACAATTTAGCTTAATAGAAGCATGACAGAACTCAGAAAGAATTTATCAGCTTGGCTCTTCCTGTTCTGCATACAAGGTTTTGCTTACAAAGGTGTAAGGAAGTCTCAAAATCCCCAGTTCCCCACTTTCTTTTTAACAGGGTAGTTCTACCCATTGCAAAATTTTAAAAGACTAAGAATAAAAAATACACAACTCATAGAAAGTTTTCCACCAACAGCCCAGTTCCCGTTCCATATAATTACCCATCTGCCTCTGGAAATTGATCTGAGAGCCTTGTTGTTAACATATTAAGTTAAACCTAACCGCTTCTTTTCAGTCTAACACTTTTTGACAGACCATACACTCAAACTTATAACTCAGGCTCTAACTCCATCCTAATGCTTACAAGCCAGTTCTTATTCTTCCATCTCTCACTATCCCTGGAGAGAAAAGGGCCCAGTGTTAGGTTTTCCCTAATCCTGATGATATTTGTAGCTTTAGTTTGGGAATGTTAAAAGATATTGATGAGAATTACCTGCAAATCCAGTTCCTAAACATTGATAAATGCCGAGAGAACAATTCCAGGCTAACACCAGACCCAGAACACCTTCATAGGAATGCCAATCCTCTCAAAGTGAGAGAAGGAAAATAGCATTCCTACTCCATCAAATTAAAAAAAGAAGGAAAGAAAGAAAGAAAGAAAGAAAGAAAGAAAGAAAGAAAGAAAGAAAGAAAGAAAGAAAGAAAGAAAGAAAGAAAAGAAAAGAAAAGATGAAATACAGCAGCTTTCATCCTGAACAAAATTAAATTTTCTAGGTCACTTTCCCTGTCTCACTGGGCCACCTTTACGCAGCCTGACAGTGCCTGTAAACACGGTCCTGTCACGCCTTCAGGGCGTACACCTACCCACCGCAGTTGCCAAATTACAGACCTCACCACACCCACCCACCCCTCCCCCCTGCCCTCCACACCTCTCCACAGACTCGCTTTACTCCAAACCAGAAATGGGCGAGCTTATTCAGAGAAAAAGTTAATGAATGTCTGTTTGGGAGGTAACGCTGTCCTACCTGCCATCACAGAATCAGAAGACTTTAAGTACCTAAACGCATCTTCCCTCTGCACTCTCGTCCCAGTCGGTGAGCGCGTCCCACCCAGAACCCCAGGAACGTGATTTATATGCAGACCCGCACCCATCCCACACAGGTCCACACGCCAGCTTGCCTAACCACTTATGTAAGCGCGTGCCTCTACAGTCCCAAACTGCAGACACACACCCCGGCACCTGCCACGCATCTCAAATGGACAAGCACCCACACCCAGGCGATGGGATCGACACATAGGAAGGGGCGGGGGGAGGATGCTGTTTTAAACCATCTTTTTCCCCGTTTTTTTCTTGCCCGTTTCTGTCACAACTACAATTACCTTAGCAACCAAAGAATTGCCTCGACTCTCCCTCGGCTTCTGGAGAGCTCCTAAAGCCAAGCTTGCGGAAGGCTCATGATAAAGCTAGAGAAGCCCAGAGAGCCAGGGACCGGCAGCCTCTTGGGGGCGGACGGGAAGTCTAGTCCGTCTCCGCGCTGCTCTTGGTGTCTCGCTTCCTCTTTTCGAGTTTCCGCGACAGCGAGCGCAAGGGCTCAGCGAGCGGAGAGCGAAACCCCGGGCCCGCGCAGAGGCGCAGTGGGTCGCATGGTGCCAGGGCGCGGGGCGCTCGGGGTGTCTCCAGCGCGCTCCGGGCCGGCCTGGCTCTCCGCGCTCCCGAGCGTTCGCCCTTACCCCTCCTTAGCCACCTAGTCGGTGGGGTGCGCGGAGGTCGGTCCGCCCCCTCGGCGCCGCCGGCTCCCTCCGCTTTGGGAACCGCGCGCTCGGGCGGAGCTCTGGCGGCCAAGCAGGGCCAAGCGCGAGGAGCTGCCCCAACTCGCGAAGCCGCTCCGCTCGGCGGCCCGGGAGCTGCTGCAGTGGCGCCCACTGTCGGGTGCGGAGCGGAGCTGCAGCCCTGTGCCCCGCGCCCCGCGCCCCGCGCACCTGGGCGCCTGTACCTGGGCCCAGATCCAGGCGGCGCAGAGAGGGGGGCGGGCGGCCGGGGCGGGGCCGGGCACCTGAGCGCGTCCCAAGGGCGCCGCCGCCAGGCTCACCTGTTCCCAGCGCGGTGAAGGTACAGACCGTGACTTTAGCAGCCGCCGGATAAACTGGGCGACTGGCTCACCCAGACGGAGGCTCCTGTCGTCAATTCTGAGCTGGCACCGTCCGGAAACTTCAGTGGCGTCAAGGTTATCTTAGAGATTCCTGGCCTAGGGTGGTGTGCCAGGGAGCTTTTGAATCTCTCACTGACGTGTAGCTGGCGCCCTCTAAATTAAAACGAGCCACCACAATCGTCAGCGATATTGTTACTAGCCTCGTCATTTTTATTTATTCAACATTTACACCACACGCTGTCTTCGGAGCGTTTTACGATTATTTTTATCTGGAACACTACAAAAGAACTTTCAGGGAAAAAAATAACTATGCAAATATTATTGGGGAAAGAAGACAAAAAGTTGAAGGCAAGATGAAAAAGGATAACTTGAACTGATGACTCTTTAATGTGGGAGTTTTATTATAAAATTGTTATTTAGTTAAAAAGTCAAGAAGCTGCAGATGGAAATAAGGCAAGATGGCTGAGGCTGGATGGTAACCAGGTTTGTGTGCAATATCAATGCTATGAATATCGAGAACAAACTTGAGATTTTTTTTTCAACTCATCCCATGTTTATTGACCTCACAAATTGCAATCAGAATCACCCAGGGGGTCCCTCCCATAGCTTCTCCTTGAGAAAGAATCCTGAGGCAGGACCTCCTCCATGTTCAAGGGTAGACTGGGAGACATGGGGGCACGCAGGAAGAGGGGATGGAAAGCAGGAACAGGAGATGGGCAAGGCAGGGAGGGAGCAAAGGCAGATTCTGGGGGAAAGACACACTTGGAGGCAAAGACCACGGGCAATGACCCCTGCCCCACCCGGCAGCCGCGAGAATATCGGGGAAAGACCAGGCGTCCACAAGACATTTCAGTCCTTCCTGTCATGAAGCATCTGCCGAGAGGAGCTGGAGGAAGGTCCGGACTCTGCCTTTAGGGCGCATCAGCCCTGTGCCAGGGCAGTCTTGATGGCAGCCACCAGCTTCAGAAACTTGCTCTCTGCGTCCACGAAGCCATCACCTCTCTTCTTGGAGTGAACCAACTTCCTGCTACCATCACTTCAAAGAACCCGCTGGTCTGAGGAGTCCCCTCGCCACAGATGTCCAGACATCCAGGGAACTCATCTTCCAACTTCTTCTTGAGCTGAAGATACTTGGGCTTGTAGCCTCAAAGGCCACAGTACACGACTTGCACGGGGAGAGCCATGGCTCGAGAGCGCGACACTGGCTGCAGAGGGACGCGGGACAGCCTGCGGGCGCAGATGCAGCTGGGCTGGGCTGAGATTTATTTATTTTTGAATTGCATTATCTCATGGCAGGGGGAAGCTGAAAATAAGATATCTAAATTTCTTTAAGGATGGATAACCTGGACTCTCTTTATCCAGAGGTTGACATTTATAGTCTTCTAAATATGCATCTTTCCCACTATTCTACATCAATTAATGGATGTACTCATTTTTTTCATCCAATAAGCAATATTCAGCACTTTCCATGTGTTAGACCCTCTAGAGACAAGTATTAGAAATAAATAATAAATGTGGCAGTCCCTGCCCTCAAGCCTTCTAATGGGACAATGCACAAGCAGGTAAATAGATTACGGTGGGCTAAGCCCGCAGAAGAGAAGCCACAGAAATCTGGCAGAAATCTTCAACTAAGGCACCCAACCTAGTGGAAAAAATATAGAACTTAATAAATATTATTTATTAAAGTTGAACCATAAAATATTTCCTTCTCCTTATTCAGCACTTGGCTTAAGCATGGTTGTGGAGCCAGCTGCAGCTGTTTGTAACACTTATAGAACATGCTGTTTACTGGGAGAGAGGTGGGAACTAGGGCGCTTCCTTCCGGGAGCTCTGCATTTCCCAGAACAGCAGCTCCTTGAGGGTCTGGCAGAGCACGATGAAATAAGCATGTGGGAGCGTGAACAACCTGCTGTGGGCTCATCTGAAGAAAGGCCTTAGTGAGCTCTTTGAAAAAAATATATGAAATGATATACTTTCTCTTGATACATTTTATGTATTAATATTATATAGGATTTCTAATATACATAGATTTACATATGATTTTATTGATATAAAATGTCTGGTTTGTATGTATGTATATATGAAGGGGGTCTTCAAAAAGTTTATGGGAAATGGGGACCAGCAGTTAGCGTAATGGCTATGTCGCTGGACTCCCACATAGTCGACTGCAGTTTGAGTCCTGGACCCGGTGGCTTAAACTCACGCCGGGCGCGTGTGCCCAAGATCCCGAGAGGAGAATGGAGGAGAAGGGATTTCGGCGTGACCTTCCCCCCTGGGGGGCTGATTTCTCGTTTTCTGTCTCTCTGTCTCTGTCTGTCTGGCGAGCACACGCACCCTATAGCAAAAACCTCTCCAAAAAAAAAGTTTATGGGAAATGCATATTATGAAAAAACTGCATGGATTTCAACACTTTTATGCCTAGTTTAATACCGTTTTTTCCACAAACATAGAAGTGTGACATATGTTTACATTCATAAGCATACATACAAACACACACACACACACACATATATATTGAGTCATCTGGAACGTCATGACATATTTTTCTGTGCAAAAATGCACCATGGCTTTCCCAATGACCCAACAAATAGAGTGATAAAAATGACCAAAAACAATGATAAAATGTGTTCTTAATAGAGATAAGTCAAAAAAAGAAAAAAAGAGAGAGAGCGAGAGAGACAGGTCACACTTTTTGCTGGCATGGACAACAGATGGATTTACCTACTTGGGAACCAATCAAACAAGTGAATACATCATTAAAGACATAGGGAGTCAGGTTTCTCACTGGTGGAGAAGAGGAAAACAAATATAGAAAAGACCCAGTTATGAGAGGTGATGGTATAAAATGATTTTTAATTTAGAGACATGATAGATAAATGGAAAAATAAAAGTGCCTTGGTGTGTGTGTATATGTTGATGTATTTCCTAGTCCTGTTCACTGAGAAGGCCTAAAAGCAATGACCACCCACTAACAATAAACACACCTAACACTCAGACCTTGGTTTCTAAATTCCATTCTCCACTAAGAGAAACCATGACTTCTTAGTGTAGTGGATGAAACAATAATTTGTTGTTCAAGAAATTAAGAAGATACATAAAGAATTACATAGCTATGTTCAAAGAATATAGGGCTCAGATTGAAGGGGTTGCCACTGGCCAAATCTGGGTTTATTTAAGGTTCAAAATAATTAATGGCAGCAACAGATTGCAACCCTTTGAGAAAAACAGTAATCCATGAATTCATGCTGGTGGAAAGTGGGGGAAAAAGAAGAAGAAGAAGGGAATTCCATAATAGAATGCAAATAATAAATGAAGAAGGAAAGATAGAAAAATCACTATTTTTTAAAGAATTCTTTTATTTAACTTTATTTATTTAACTTATTTTAATTTGACCAGAGAGGGACAGAGTGAGGGGGAGAGAGAGAGAAAGAGGGAAAGTGAGAAAGCAAGCTCCTAGGTCCAGGATTCAAACTACAGGCAGCCATGTGGGAGTCCAACGCTCTTAACCACCATGCCACCTGCTGGCTCCTGAAAATCACTATTTAGGGCCAGCCCATGGCCTGGTCATTGAAGCTGCTGGATCCCACCTGGCCACAGAACATAAGTCCTGGATCCGGCAACTTGAGAAACACTTGGGAGCACATCTGGGTGCATGTCCAAAATCTTGAAAGAAAGGAGAGATGAAGAAGGGATTGCAGCAGGACTATGCCCTGTGTGGAGTGCTTTATCACCTTCCCTCCCTCTCTGTCTCTCTCTAGCAAGCACTTGTGCCCTCTGGCAAATTAAAAAGAAAGAAGGAAGGAAGGAAGGAGAAAGAAAGAGAGAAAGAGAGAAAGAGAGAAAGAGAGAAAGAGAGAAAGAGAGAAAGAGAGAAAGAGAGAAAGAGAGAAAGAGAGAAAGAGAGAAAGAGAGAAAGAGAGAAAGAGAGAGAGAGAGAAAGAGAGGAAGAAAGAGAGAAAGAGACAGAAAAAGAAAAAATGCTGTTTAAATACTATCATTATAAAAATTGATTCAAGCCACACTCAATGGATGCTAAAATTGGTAGGTAAAAGTTTGATGAGGAACAGAATATTTACACAGTGTCAAAGTATGTCCTTAAAAATACTCAGTAATATATCATTAATTCTTAATAAGAAAAAACATGCTTATTAAGTATCATTGCAGTTATAATACCTGGGAGATACCATCTTAAGCAACTAGTAAATTTCTACATAAATGTAAGCCAGCAACGGGACAAATCAGCTTTATGCTGCCTCCTGATATAATGCACTGAGAACGCCGCATCACTTCTTGTGCACAAATATGTAAGTCATAAAGAAACATTAGACAAATGCAAATTGAGGGAAATTCAAGTAACCAGTCTGCACTCTTTAAAAATGTCAAGACTATAAAAACAAAAACGTTGCAGATTAAAGGAGACTAAGGAGAAAAGACAGCTAAATGCAGCAGGTGATCTTCAATGGGACTCATGACTTACAAATTACATTATTGGCATAATCAGTGGATTCTGTGGATTAGATGGATTAAATTGGATCCAAGTTATTGTCCTGATGTACATACTTCTGGGACCAGCAGTTAGTGTAATGGCTATGTCGCTGGACTCCCACGTAGACGACCGTGGTTCGAGTCTCGGACCCGGTGGTTTAAACTCAAGCCAGGCACGTGTGCGTGCGTGCCCAAGATCCCAAGAGGAGAATGGAGGAGAAGG